TTTTTCTCATAACTGTTTGATATATTTATGGACTTGGTAAAGTGAATTAACCTGAAGTTAAATTTAAAATCTTAACTTTCCTTTTCCTGTTCATTTTCAGATTATGGATTGGATATGTCTACTTCTGGATGCAAATTTTACTGTTGTTGTAATGATGCCAGAAGCAAAGAGGCTACTGATAAATCTTTACAAGCTTGTAAAATCTCAGGTTTGTGATTATTTTGATATACACTGATTTTATTTGTACCTAAGTATCACCTGAATTACAATTTATTCTTAAAATTTGTCCTTACTTACTAATAGTCATGGAAGATTTGTTTCTATGTAGACATTATGGTAAAAGTTACTCTGAAACTTTTTTCTTTAGATATCTGTTTATTCCGAGCTCAACAAGATTGAAGTAAGTTTTCGGGAGCTACAGAAATTAAATCAAGAAAAGAATAATAGAGGATTATATTCAATTGAAGTGCTGGAGCTCTTCTGATATTACCAACTCTCCTTCATAGACATTTTATAAAGCTCTTTTATGTGAACTCTTGCTTCATCCAGGCAAGAACGGTGTTTTGTTTGCGACTATCTCGGTGTCAGGAGAAACGTGTCAGTGAGTACCTGGACCATCACTTACTGATGCTCCGGGGTAGGACTACAGGTTTCACACGAACCTATTCTAGGTTGTGGACATTGGTGCGGAGAGGTTCTGCAATTTTTTAAAAATATGTAACTGGGTTGATTTTAAGTAAAATTATTTGTGTATTGATAAAAGTCTAATTTCTTATGTGTTTTGAATTGTTTTTCTTTTAATAAAAAACAACCATTGAAGCAGTGATTCTAGCAAGAATGTAATTTTATCAGAGTCAGAAACTGCCCCTGCTCATTTGTTCCACAGCTCATCTTTCACACATTCGTAGTGTGTCTTCTGCAGGGACCTCTTCTGCCACAAGCAGGCAGAGAGGGGTCCTCACACAGGCACATGCTTGCCTCCCGCCATCTCCCCTGTCCTTTAGGACAAATGAAAACTTCAAGTGTGAGTCTACAGCCCAGCTTTACAGAAAGAATCCTGACGGCTGAATTTACCTTGCAGTAGTGAAAGGCTGCGTTTTAGGTCAGGCACTGTATGTAAACTTTAGTCACACATGTGGCCGTTAATAAACAGGTTCTCCTCCATCATTTTTAATCTCTCAGTAGGCCTTAATGAAAAGAAATCCCAATGGAACAGGGTAAAGTCTCTATTAATGAGGACATTCTCAGCTGGGCACAGTGGCTCACGCCTATAATCCAAGCACTTTGGGAGGCTGAAGCAGGCAGATTACTTCAGGTTAGGAGTTCAAGACCAGCTTGGCCAACATGGTGAAACCCCATCTCTACCAAAAAATACAAAAATTAGTTAGGCATAGTGGTGCGTGCCTATAGTCTCAGCTATTCGGGAGGTTGAAATGGGAGACTCACTTGAACCCGGGAGGTGGAGGTTGCAGTGAGCCAAGATTGTACCACTGCACTCCAGTCTGGATGACAGAGTAAAACCCTGTCTCAAAAAAAAAAAAAAAAAATCGGCCGGGTGCAGTGGCTCACGCTTGTAATCCCAGCACTTTGGGAGGCTGAGGCGGACAGATCACCTGAGGTCAGAAGTTCAAGACCAGCCTGACCAACATAGAGAAACCCCGTCTCTACTAAAATACAAAAAAATTAGCCGGGTGTGGTGGTGCATCCCTATAATCCCAGCTATTCAGGAGACTGAGGCAGGAGACTCGCTTGAACCTTGGAGGCAGAGGTTGCGGTGAGCTGAGATGACGCCATTGCACTCCATCCAGCCTGGGCAACCAGAGTGAAACTCTGTCTCACAAAAAAAAAAAAAAAAAAATCACTTTATGTAGTGGGACCTTTTGCTCAGCGGTAATATAGTACTCAGCAGAAATGAAAAATATGGTCTCCATGGTGCATATCCTCTTTTTATTTATTTACTTATTTTTTTGAGATGGAGTCTTGCTCTGTCTCCCAGGCTGAGAGTGCAGTGGCTTGATCTTGGCTCACTGCAACATCCGCCTCCTAGGTTCAAGGAATTTTCTTGCCTCAGCCTCCCGAGTAGGTGGAATTGTAGGCATGCGGCTAATTTTTGTATTTTTAGTAGAGACAGGGTTTCACCATGTTGGCCATGCTGGCCTGGAACTCCTGACCTCAGGTGATCTGCCCTCCTTGGCCTCCCAAAGTGCTGGGATTACAGGTGTGAGCCACCATGCCCGGCCCCCCCTTTTTATCTTTTTTGCTGAACCATTTAGGAATTATTTGCAGACATCCAGATATTACAACATTATGAGTTCCTAAGCTTTTCTTTATAAGAATATTGAGCTTTAGTGTAGTGGATTCTTATTATATATCTAAGAACCCATAATTAAAGAGACAAGTCTCATTGATCTGTGAACTCTAAGCCAGTAAAAAGAAGATAAACAACAGAAATGCAGAGGCAGTCAGTTCACAGATTGACATTTTACTCTTCCTGACTTTTGATTTGATTGTGTACTTAAAGACTGGCTTCTCCGTTGAAAAATAACTTATGTGGTAACGAATCAGATACTTGACGAAATGTAACTACCACAAACAAGACTATACACTATATTATGGCTTACAGAATTATATGCCATTTTAACTGAAGTAGAAAATTGTAACTGCCTTTATTTCATTTATTTTTGAGATAGAGCCTCACTCTCTCACCCAGGCTGGAGTGCAGTGGCACGATCTTGACTCACTGCAACTTCTGCTTCCCAGGTTTAAGTGATTCTCATGCCTCAGCCTCCCAAGTAACTGGGATTACAGGCATATGCCACCATGTCCAGCTAATTTTTGTATTTTTAATAGAGACAGTGTTTCCCCATGTTGGCCATGCTGGTCTCGAACTCCTGGCCTAAAGTGATCCACCCGCCTCGGCCTCCCATAGTGCTGGAATTACAGGCGTGAGCCACTGCACCCGGGCATAATTGCCTTTAAATAGTAGTTGTAAATTATTTCTAGGTTACCTGCGATCTAAATTACTAAAATTAAACTAGGATTTTGAAAAGAGATGCAGAGACTCTGATAGGCTGTTCTTCAAGGCAAGGACTAAGCTCAGGACCACTGGGATATAACAGGTGTTCAGTAAATTGTTAGTGAATAAAGCCTTTGAATAATAGATTTTTATCTAAGTACAGGGTAAAATTCTGAAAGTTTGCTATAGTTCCTTTTCTTGGAAAGTAAATCATCTATGTTCATCATATATAGGCAGTGTGTCTTCTTCCTCTAGGCCATATAACACCATATCTCAGATTTATTTCTGATTATATAATATATACTACATCTATATAACAATAAAAGAATTTTCTTTAAACTGTAGTTCCATCTAGAAACTGACTTTTGACTGGGCGTGCTGGCTCACTGCTATAATCCCAGCACTTTGGGAGCCTGAAGGGGGCAGATTACTTGAGGTCAGGAGTTCAAGACCAGCTTGGCCAACATGGTGAAACCCTGTCTCTACTAAAGATGCAAAAATTAGCCGGGCCTGGTGGCGTGCGCCTGTAATCCCAGCTACTTGGGAGGCTCAGGCAGGAGAATCATTTAACCCAGGAGGTGGAGGTTGCAGTAAGCCAAGATTGTGCCATTGTACTCCAGCCTGGGCGAAAAGAGCAAAACTCTTATCTCAAAGAAAAAAAAAAAGAAAATGACTTCCTGTTATGAACCTTATCTGTTTTCCGAAGGAAATGTGGGCTAACGGGTTATTACTACTTGAGATGCGACACTTGCTTTTTGCCTCCTTAGCCTTTTTTGTAAATGTTGGTGACATCATTTTTGTTGAGTTCATTCTGGATCATATGTCCATTTCTTTTTTGAACAGTTTAAATTTTTTTAACAATTGCAAGAGAAAACAATGAACACCCATATACCCTTCATCTAAATTTACCAACTGGTAACAGTTTATCATGTTTGCTTTGCTAATCTCTGTATTTTTTCTTTCATTCCTAAACCATTGGAGAGTTATTTGCAGACATCCAGACACTTCAGCTTAATCCCATAAATACTTCAGCTTAATCCTCTAAAACAAGGGCATCTTCTGCATGACCACAATACAACGATCAAATTCAGAAAAATTATATTAGTGGAGTACTGTTCTCTAGAGTGATTACAGTCTGTATTCTGGTTTCCACAGTTGTCCCAGTAATGTCTTTCATAGCTGAAGGGAGGAGGAGGGAATCTTTCTGGTAGTCGCACATTGTTGCCAAAATGAAATTCTTTTTTCTTGGAAGTATCTTTCCTCTAATTCCATACTTGCCAAGCAACTGACACTGATTTACTCTCCCAGAAACACAAATACCAGGATGGGGAGGCTCTATATGAGAGGTAATTACAATTTCCTAAATTGGCATAATCCCTGTAAATTGACAAATTGAAATTCTTGTCTAAATTTAATTTCATGTGAACCTAATTATCCTTGGCTACTTTTCATCTCTGGATGAATTCATATGCTTTGGGTTGTCAGTGCCAAATTTGTTATGCTTTGTTTAATATGTTCAGACCACAGAGCTGACAGCATCTATTTCTTCTGGTTATACACCAGGTAAGGTATAGTTAATATACAGATGTTTTATACTACTTCAGAATGAATTTGGACCAACCGGGCACAGTGGCTCATGCCTGTAATCCAAGCACTTTGGGAGGCTGAGGCAGGCAGAACACTTAAGCTCGGGAAATGTAACTACCACAGTAGTCGGGTAACACGGGGAGACCTTGTCTCTATAAAAATTTAAAAATTAGCTGGTTATGTTGGTGTGTGCCTGTAGTCCCAGCTACTTGGGCTGATGTGAGACAATCGTTTGAGCCCGGGAGGTTGAGGCTGTAGTGAGCCATATTTGTGCCACTGTACTCCAGCCTGGGTAACAAAGCAAGACCCTGTCTCAAAAAAAAAAAAAAAAAAAGAAAGAAAGAAAGAAAGTAAACTTGGGCTAGCGTAGTGGCTTACGCCTGTAATCCCAGCTCTTAGGAAGGCCGAGGCAGGCAGATCACTTGAGGCCAGAAATTCAAGGCCAGCCTGGCCAACATGGCGAAACTCCATCTCTACAAAAAATACAAAAAATAGCTGGGTGTGGTGGCACATGCCTGTAGTCCCAGCTACTCAGGAGGTTGAGCCACAAGAATTGCTTGAGCCTGGGAAGCAGAGTTTGCAGTGAGCTGAGATTGCGCCACTATACTCCAGCCTGGGCAACAAAGTGAGACGCTATCTCAATAAAATAAGATTAACTTGGAGTACAATAAACTTGAACAAAATGTTCTTGGATTTGCACAGACCACATGCACCATTTCTGTACTTTGCATTACTGGGTTGGACAATGGCACATAATATGCAACAGCATACTCTACAGAATTAAATTTGCACCATTTTCAAGTTTAGTGCATGATTCCCTTAGGAAAATCAGGAAGTTTAAGTCTTCTGTTAGCTTTGGTATAAGGCTTTTAATTTATTTATGCATTGCCTCTTTCACAAAGAGACATGTACAATAAAATAGTATAATAAACCTAGGAAAGGTGGATACAAACACAAAACTGCAAAAGTCAACAAAATTTCAGCTCACAGAGACTCTGATTATATATTTTAAACTTGTATAGGTTCCTCCTTTTTTTTTTCTTTTTATTATGGACAACTCCAAACAACAACAACAAAAGAGTTTAACAAATACCATACGTGTAGCGCAGCTTCAACAGTTACCTTTCTTTTTCTTTTTTTTTTTTTTTTTGAGATGGGGTCTCAGTTTGTAACCCAGGTTAGGGTACAGTGGCGTGATCTCAGCTTATTGCAACCTCCACCTC